ATTTCTGCAGAAATGGAATGTTTAGCATCCATTTATTTAATTTACTTATATTTCCAAAATATTGAAATATCAATTGCAATTATATATTAAAAACATATTTGACATTAACTTTAATTAATAAAAAAGGGAAACATCTTTATAATCAAGACAAGAGGCAGCTAAAATGTAAAGTTTAATTTGATAGGCAAAGTGAAAAGGTGCTTAATTTGCAGATATGCTTCCAGTTCAGAAGCCATAAACAGCTTTAGAGATTGTAATGTTTTTAGTGTCTTAATGTTTTTTTTTTTACTATTTTTACTGTTTTAAACTGTTTTTAGGATTTTAATTGTAATATATATTTCTGAATTGTGAGCCGCCCAAAGTCATTTGCTATGGAAATCAATCAATCAAACAAACAAAACAAGCTAAAATTATAAGCATTCCAAAATAGGGAGCTGGCTTTACAGGTGTATTAAAACTTAATCCAAAATTAAGCTCTCTCTTAATTCCTAGTTCCAGTTTACCAAGAACACATCTGTCTTATCTGAATTTAACTTTAATCTTCTTGTTATTATTGAATTTAGACAATTATAAATGGTACTAGCATTGTTGGATTTGGATTCTAAAATACTATAGGCCTACTGATTATACCCTTTCCAAAAACCTAGATAACCCCACACCCCATCCCCACACCAAATAGTATTGAACAGAAGGGAGGCAAAATGAAATCATATGGCTCACCATAACTCAGTATCAACATTCTTTCGGAGCTTGGCTTGAGAGAAGGGAACATAACTCTTGCAGACCCCAAAGATCAATCCCTCCAGACAGTCCAAAGGGATACCATTCATGAATAGTCTTCTACTATAGCCCTGTGTAGGAATTTTAGATACTGAACCTGCAGTAAACATTTACAGTAGGGAAGATTTTCCAGATGCTTTGTAACTATATTGGTTTCCATGTTGATAGAATTGGATTATGTAAACCATTTAATTGTATGTTTTGAAAATTCTATATTTGTAGTATTCAAACAGTCCTCTCTAGATCAAGTCATTATTTTCAATTAAAAGTACTACAAATTCCAATCACTTTGATATTGTCAGAGATTGATAGATACCTTAAGGATAACTTCCTTCCTTCCTTCCTTCCTTCCTTCCTTCCTTCCTTCCTTCCTTCCTTCCTTCCTTCTGCAGAAATTACAGTCCACTTTCCCCTAAATTCATATCCTCTTTGTTTAAAAACTAAAAACAATCTGGATTCTATTAACTTTTCAGGGAAACTCNTGAGCCGCCCTGAGTCCCTTCAGGGAAAAGGGCGGCATACAAATAAATTAAAACCATAAACCATAAACCAAACTGTCAAGGACTGCTATGAACTTGCTTTTACTTCAAATACTATTTTCAGGCAGGAAGACAACTACGTCACAAGCATTGTGGGTCTTAATAGCCTATAGTTGTTTATTAATGTTCATTTTTGCTTCTTCAGATACCTTTAATATTACTAAAAAAAAATTCTTTTCTCCTTCTTGGTGTCTCACATTAGCTGATTGAACTTGATTTATTAGCATTCCCTTTAACTCATTCCTTGTAACTTTAATTCTTCATGTCTCTGCCAACATTTATTTATTCTTTCAATTTCATTCAATTCAATTCATTCAGTTCGTCAAGTCTGGCCCACTAACAAAGGTTTGGAGTAATAGAAGGACCTTCAATGAAACCAGCTAATTTTTAAAAATCCCGTTCAAATTCAGTGTTGAATAGTTTTTTTCCCTAATTCATACACAGGTATATGCTTGCAATTAAGATATTATAGAATAATGTTATAAATATATGCATGACATGTGTTTTATATACAATTATATAAAAAGGTGGGATTTTAAAAAAATCTAACAATAATCATGATCAACTACCTGTACAAAATTGGGATATATACAATATCTGCATGGAATCTTGCCTTCAACTGCTGATTATGCAGTTACTTTATAGCCTATGTTGCATCATAGATAAGAAGTCTACAACAGTTCATACCTTACTCAGTAAAGAATCATGCAAAGTGTTCTTGGATAATTAAATTACGCTTTCCTAGCCTTCCCGACTCATTGAGTTTTATTTCCTTTTTTCTCTGTTTTGTCCTTTCATAGGATATGTAAGTTAAATGTGGAAAAGAAAAAACAGACGAAAGAAAATGAGACTCAGTGTACCAAGAGTAGTGCAGACTAGGACCTTAAATCCAAGTACACTGTCAAAAAACTCTGGATAACACTGGTAGTTATTTCCTTGCAACATGTCACAACCCTCTCTGTGGGCATGCGAGCTACCGCCCCAGCTCAGCTCCACCGTGCATATGTGTGCACCTCCCGCTGGCCAGCTGATTTTGGGTCTCTGTTGCGCTTGCAGGACATGGGTGCCCATGCGCGAGGAGAGCATGGGGGTACATTGCCCTCCTGCACCCCATATTTGGTCCCAGGAGGCTTCATGGGGGCTTGCGAGGCCCAAAACAGGGCACAAGGAAATGTGGTTCTCCCACGGCCCATTTTTGCCAGAAGACTGCAGGGAGCTCTGCTAGACCCAAAACAGGGTATGGGTGGAGGTCATGCGTGCATGGGTGGGTGAGTTGTTTGTGCATGCAAAGGGGGGGTGGGGCATGCCAGGGTGTGTCACGTGTACATTGCATTATGGGTGTGGGCATGCACACGCTATCGCATGCGCACATATGCTTTTGGCATGCAAGGACAAAAAGGTCAGCCATCACTGTAATAGAGGTAAGTTCCCTTGAACTCTTTAGAAGGAAGATGGTTTTTCATGTAAGAAACAACAACATAAATGTCTTGAACTTCACATAAGAATAATAACACATATACATAATGAATAAATAAACTTATTTAACAATAAGTTTTTAGTTTGATATACCCAAGTGTCAGAGAACAATGTATTCTTTAACCTATTTTATACGTAGAATAACCTTTATTATATTTTAGTATTTATTGCTGGTTTTATTTCAGATAGGAAAAGAACATTCAGGCCTAAAGGCT